CCCGCTCCTGCAGCCGCCGCCGCTCCGACGGCCGCCGCCGCTTCCGCAGCCGCCCCCGCTCCCACAGACGCCGTCGCTCCCTCAGCCGCCGTCGCTCCCTCAGCCGCCGCAGCTCCAGGTCTCGCAGCCGCCGCCGCTCCGGGTCCCGCTTCCGCAGCCGCTCCTGCAGCCGCTCCTGGTCCAGCTGCAGCCGCTCCAAGTCGCGCTCCCGCTCCAGCTCCTTGTCCAAATCGCACTCTATGCGCAGGTCCAAGTCCAAGTCCTCATCAGTGTCGCGCTCCCGCTGGTGCTACCGCTCCTGTATCCAAGAAGGAGTCCAAGTCCCACTGGCGCACCAAGAGCTACCCCCCCACCAAGTCCCCATAAGAGGAAGGCATCTTGTCCTCCTGGAACAATATCTCAACAACCAACATAAGGACTGAGGACTTGGGGCCAAAGGACCACACATACTCAGTCCATCCAGGAAGAGACTCCTTGAAACAAGCAACTGGCTATTGAAAAGGTTATTTTGAAAAAGTTGTCTAAGTCTTTACTTGTTTTAAGCTTGGCCTCAGGTGGCAAGCTTCATTTTGTGTGCCATTTTGTTGCTGTTATTTCAAAGTTCTTGTAATTTAATGAGGTGGACGACTTCAGATTTCATTATTGGCATGGATATTTAAGTAAAATTTCATTTCTGTTTATATAGTGCTGACTTTTTTTTGTTTGAAAAACAGATTGGTAACCTATTTTGTGGCCTCCTGACTTGTAAGGAAACCTGTGCAGCCATTACTTGCTGAGTAGCCTAAAGCTGTGAAGAGATTGACTCAACAATGCCTTCTTTCCTTAGAAATTAAAACAAAAACAAAAACAAAAAACCTTCAAAAGTTGGTGTAAATTTGTATATGCTATGGGTTAATGCGCCAGATTGCAAAGTAGTTTGAACTACAAGGTTGGCTGTTCAAACTCAGCAGCTGCTCCTTGGAAACCCTATACAGGGTCGCTATGGGTCAGAATAGACTCAATGGCACTTCACAGCAACAACAATTTACCTTCAGACAGAAATGGTAATCTGAACCCAAATGTGTATAGACTTCAAGTGAAAAGACTTGATATTTTGGAAGCATTGTTTACCACACACAATTCTAATCTCTTCTCTTGTGTATTTTGTGCACTAGGTGCAGTTGTGTAGCAGTTGAATAATGCTGGTTAGCTGTTGAGGTGGCGTGTTGCAGTGCAGAGTGCTTGGCTATTTCCTGTTTTCTCTTGGTTGCTCCTGTGTAAAGCTGCCTTGTTGTGCAGAGACAAATGGCTGTCCAGTTTATTAAAATGCCTGACAACTGCACTTCTAGACACGGGGCCTTGCATACAAATAACAGAACATACAGTGAGCACATCTGTACACGATGATTAATACACAGTTTTTTTTTTCCTCCCTCACTCCCCCAAAATGTTCATGTATGAACTTAAAATATGGAGGGGGGGGGAAATGTTAAGGAAGCAAATGGTTTGTAACTTTGTAAGTACTTATAACATGGTGTATCTTTTTGCTTATGAATATTCTGTACTATAGCCATTGTTTCTGTAGTTTAATTAAAACATTTCCTTGGTGTTAGCTTTTCAAAAAAAAAAAAAAATCCTGAACAGAAAATTTCAAAGATCAGCTCAAGAATATTTTTACAACAAAATGTGCAAAGATCTGGAATCAGAAAACCAAAAAGGAAGAGCATGCTTAACATTTCTCAAGCTGGGGGAACTGAAGAAAAAAATGCAAGGGTTGACTATCGTTATTGAAATATTATCTGGACAAATTATTGAATGATGCACAAAGCATCAAGAGAGGATGGTAGGAATACAGAGAGTCAAAGTACCAAAAAGAAATGGTTAGTGTTCAACGGTTGCAAGAGGTAATATATGACCAATAGCCAATGATACTGAAGGAGGAAGTCGAAATCTTTCAAGAAAGTGAGGAGGCACAAGATGTACTCACTCATCTCTGCCAAGAAATTTGGAAGGCAACTATCTGGCTGACTGATTGAAAGAGATCCATATTTGTGCCCATTCCAAACAGCGGTGACCCAATGGAATGCAGAAATCAACAGACAATCTCTTTGATATCTCATACAAGTAACGTTTTACTAAAGGTAATACAGAAACAGCTACAAGCATAAATTGACAGAGAAATTTCAGAGATTCAAGCCAGATTGAGAAGAAGTCAAGGAACAAGAAATATCATTGCTGATGACCGATGGATCTTGGCTGAAAGCAGAGAATACCAGAAAGATGTTTATCTGTGTTTTATTGACTATGAAAACGCTTTAGATTATTGTGGATCATGACAAGCTATGAACAACATTGTGAAGTATGAGTATTCCAGAACACTTAATTGTGCTCATGAAGAATCTGTACCTGAACCAAGAGGCAGTTGTACAAACAGAACATGGCAACACTGAATGGTTTAAAATTAAGAAAGGTGTGCGACAAGGTTGTATTCTTTCACTATACTTATTCAACCTGTATGCTGAGCAAATAATCCGAGAAGCTGGGTTATATGACAAAAAAAGTGGCATTAGGATTAGAGGAAGACTCATTAACAACCTGCGATATGCAGATGATACACCTTGCCTGCTGAAAGTGAAAAGGACTTAAAACATTTACTGATGAAGGTCAAAGAGCACAGCCTTTGATATGGATTACATCTCAATGTAGAGAAAACAAAAATCCTCACCACTGGACCAATAAACATTCTTATCAACGGATAAAAGATTGAAGTTGCCAAGGACTTCATTCTTCTTGGATCAAGTATCAACACTCATGGAAGCAGCAGTCAAGAGATTAAACGACATATTGCATTAGGCAAATCTGCTGCTCAAGAACTTTTTAAAGTGCCGAAGAGCTTGAGGACTAAGGTGCGCCTGACCCAAGCCATGGTATTTTCAATAACCACAAATGCATGCAAAAGAGGGACAGTGAATAAATAAGACAGTAGAAGAATTGATGCTTTTGAGTTGTGGTGTTGGAGGAGAATATTGAAAGTGCCATAGGCTGCCAAAAGAACCAATATATCTGTTTTGGAAGAAGTGCAGCCAGAGTGCTCCTTGGAGGCCAGGATGGCCAAACTTCATGTCTCATACTTAGGACATATAGTTAGGAGGGACCAGTCGCTGGAGAAGGATATCATGTTTGGCAAGGTGGAGGGTCAGAGAAAAAGAGGGAGAACCCCCACGAGATGGATTGGCCAAATGGAAGCATCGATGAGACTCAAGTGTGGCAACGGTAGTGAGGTTGGCCTCGGATCAGGCAGTGTTTCGTTCTTCTGTGCGTAGAGTCGCTAAGTTGGTATCGACTCAATGGCACCTAACAACAGCAACAACAATATTTTTATAAAATAAAAATAAAACAGTTGAGATCCGAATAAAATCTTTTTTCACTAAGAGATGTAAAAAGCAGATTATGAAGCATGTTAGAGCAAGCAGAAGCTTAATGTCAATCATAGAAGTTCAAGTCTTGACACTGCTCTTAAATATACATGTTGTTTTAAGCAGGTCCCTTAACTGTTTTCTCTTCTGTCAAATAAGATTCTGGATGTGGAACAGGGGCAGAGATTATACTTGCATAAAAAGTATTTTTCTTTCCATACAAACAAAATTTAAAAGTAATATTTCAATAATTGTTACAAATATATATCTGTATCTCAGTTAATTCTTTAAGATTATGTAATTTCACAGTGAAAATCAAAGGTTGAAGCTCAAAGGTTAGATTTACTGCGATACTTGAACACACACTTTCCAGATGTTTTTACCACTTCACATTCATGAGGAAGAATTAGGAAAACTTTATGGCAAGTTTTAGAATCATGACAAAATAAGTGTTACTCATTACTAAAGAAGAAATCTTAGACTTGGAAGTTATGGTCAGTTTCTAAGAGCAATTGTTACAACTAATACTAAAGCTGTCTAATTAATTTTGTATTGGGAGTTATTTTGATTAACTGGTCATGTCCTCATTTTCTGGAATACACAGAAATTAACTTTTCGATATTTGTAGAAAAGGAGCTCTGGTAGCGTAGTGGTTACGAATTGGGCTGCAAGCCTCAAGGTCAGCAGTTCGAAACTACCAGCTGTTCCGCGGGAGAAAGATGAGGCTTTCTGCTCCCATAAAGATTTACAGCCTCGATAATCCTGTACAGGGTAGCTATGAGTTGGCACCAACTCCAAGGCACATAACAACAACAACAATGCCAGGGGCAGACTCTAGGACTGACCATCAATTCCTCATATGCAAGTTCAGGTTGAAGCTAAAAATATTTAAAATAAGTCCATGATACTCAAAATAATGACCTTGAATATATCCTACCTGATTTTACAGATCATCTCAAAAGCAGATTTGATGTATTAAATACTGATGACAGAAGACCAGAAGAGTTGTGGGATGACATCAAGAACATCATACAAGAAGATAGCAAAAGGTCGTTAAGAAAACAAGAAAGAAGGAAAAGACTAAAATGGATGTCAGAAGATACACAAAATCACTGTACCAAAGAGAAAGGCTCACTATTCAATCATTTCAAGAGGTAGCATATGATAAATAGCCAATGTTACTGAAGGTAGAAGCTGAAGATGCTCTGAAAGCATTGGCAAAGAACAAGGCTATGGGAATTGATGGAATACTAACTGAAAGCTTGCAATAAACTGATGTAGTATTGGAGACAATCACTCATCTATACCAAGAAATTTGGAAGGCTGCTACCTGGACAGCTGATTGGAAGAGATCCATATTCATGCCCATTTCAAAGAGAGGTGACACAATGGAAAGTGGAAATAATAGAATAATATCATTAATAGTGCATGCAAGTAAAAGTTTGCTAAAGATAATTCACAAACAGCTGCAGCAGTACATTGACAGGGAACTGCTAGAAGTTCAAGCCGGATTCAGAAGAGAATGTAGAGCAAGGGATATCATTGCTGATATCAGATGGATCTTGACTGAAAGCAGAGAATCTAAGAAAGATGATTGCCTGTGCTTTGACTACGCTTAACGTGTGGATCATGTAAAGCTAATGACTGTGCTTGACATGTGTATCATGTCAAGCTATGGACTAACATTGAGAAGAATGAATATTCTGAAAACTTAATTCAAACTGTATACTGAGCAAATAATCTGAAAAGCTTGATTAAATGAAGAAAAATGTGGCATTCCTTCAGATAAAGTCATTTGATACACCCCCTGAAAAAAAGGTCATATCCCACAAACAGTCCTTAAAGAAATCATTTCCCACGCTCCTATCACCAGTAGCACTGAATTTTTATCGTTTTTAAAACTTTACATAAGTTGATAAAAGATGTGGCAGATTTAAGAAAGAACTCAAGTAGGATGGTTTGGTACATTTTGTAGAAAAGGTAAAGGTAAACCAAAGATGCATGTGGCTGCCTTGGTGGCCCAGGAA